AAATCAATCAAAAAAGAATCAAACAGAAATCAAAAAGAAGATAATGTTTAAAAAAAAACGGAAAATATTGTTCATAGCAATTCAGCATAGTAACAATCATAATAGTGATAAGTTAACAGTTACAAATAAGCTTATTATCAATATCATAATCAAATAAAAAAAGAAAAAAAACGGAAGGAAGATAATGCTTGAAAGAAAAAGATGATGAAAATATTATTCATCAAATGAAAATATTATTTATCAAATTAAGAAAATATTATTCATCAAATTAATTAATTCATCAATTTAATTAATTGAATGAAGTATTTTTCATACTCTAATAACAAGTTTTTTTATCAGTTATCAATTTTAAATTTTACATAAAATTCTAAAATATGCTTCAATTTTCAAAGCTACCCCAATTTTTCAATAAATCTCGATAAAATTAGTCTTAAATAATTTAATAATAATGCTAAAAATTAATATAAAAGTACGAAAAAAACATTTCCATTAATTAATATTAAAAAATAAACAATAAATAAGAGCATTTTTTCTTTCACCTTCCAAATTATATCTATTTTATAAATGTAATAATTTTTAATTCAATTTATTACCTTTAATTAGCTTTGCTTAGAGCATTCAAAAATTAATTACTAACCTTAAATCCTTGAATGCATACTTTATAAAGATCATTGGAAAAATTAATCTGTGGAAAAGAATGGATGAAATTACGATAAGTTGTCGATGGTTGCTCAATCCACATTCGATAAATTCGTGAATAAAATGCTAATTGGCCAAGAATATTCATATAATATAGGCGATTATATCGATTCATTAATTTTATTTCACTTAAATTTAATCGCTTATTAAAAAATTAAATTAAATGATTAATTAATGAAAATATGGGAAAAGAAAATTGGATGAAATGATTCCATACGTTGCATATTTTTTAATTAATTCTTGATTAAAATCGCTTAAAAAAGCCTTCTCTTCTTGATATTGCGCTTTAACAATTAATGTCAACGATAATAGAATAAATGACAGTTTAAATTTGAAACGACCGTACATTATTTATAATTAACGGTTAATATTTTAATTTTCATTAATTGAAATAATATAATTAAAAAAAAACGGAACAACTTTTTTTTATTGAATATTTTGAAATTATTTTCATACTTCAAAAATATGGTATAAGAATGGTTGCATAATGCTGAAGTGAAAGAGAAATGACATAACTGTAGGATTGATAAAATTCTTAATTTATGGAGAAAAAAAAGAGACGATATTCATTAATATAAATACTTAAATATCAAAGATAGTAAAAATAGTGCAATTGATTATTTTTGCAAAATTTTCAAATTCTTTACTAAAACTTTGATTGAATTATTTAGTTATAGCAATTTATCTAATATTTTTATCATAGAAAAATTAAATTTAATTATCAAATAAATTACTAATAATTACGAATTGTAAGTAATTGATTTCAGTTTTTTTTTCATAAATTTTATAATTACTTTTTAATAAAAATAGCATTTAAAATGTTTTTATTAAAATTATTCTAAATATGTTGCAAAATTTTCTTCATTCATATGTAATAATAATCAAATTATCACCTTCCAATCATCGTTTAAAATATTTATCAAAATCATTTGCAACAATATCATTTTCTTCGTTGGAATACAATTTTTAATTTGAATTTTAAATTTCATTCATTCATTTCGAATTATTTGAAACTCTTCCCTTTTTTCTTTTTCCTTTTTTTTTTGCTTCTTTTGCTTTTTTATTTTTCTCAAAATTTTTCATAGACAATTATTCTGCTAAATTCATTAACTTTTTCTTGTAGTTATGTGCTTTTTTTCAGTACAAAAGCGCCATCTTATAATTATTGTTCATTTCAGATTACATTCATGATTTTTAATAATACTGTCACAATATGTGTCACATCGATTTTTTTTTTTTTTTTTTTTTTACCATCTTACAGCAAATTAATTCGATAAACAAAAAATTTTTTATAAAATTTTTGGAAATTTTTAAATCTTTTTGAAATAAAATTTCAAAAATTTGAATATGCAAATAAATGAAACATTTAAAATTTGAATATTAAAAATATTAGTTTTAAAAGAATGAATGATATAAAAGATTTATTGCTACCTTTATGAATTCATTTGTTTTAATAATAATAATAATTTGCTGCTTGTGGTAGCACATTTCAAATTAAAATGAGTGAAAGGAGACGTAAATTATTTGTGGAGAAGATGAGGAAACTGATATCTGTATCATTTTTTTTCTTTAAATATCAGTAATCGTTAATTTTTCTTTTTAATTATCAGTAATCATATATTAAAATTTATTTATTACTGATATCTATTTACTAATATCTATTAATAATTTAATGATTACATCCATTTTTTGCAGAAAGAAGGTCGACCAAGAAAAATCGTCCAACCTGATCTATCACAAAATAAACGACGACAACGTATTTTGCGCATTTTTCTTGAACAATTTCATAACTTATTCTTATTTTTTTCCGGAAATAAAACTCTTTCCGGATATCATTTAAATAATGAAATTATGATATTGGATTGCTTGTTTGTCTTTTTTTATTTGCATTTTTATAAAATATTTCGAAAAAGAAAAAACACGAAAGTTTTATATTAAAATTTGTTTATATATTAAAAATTTTTATTAAAAATATAATCTGTTGTTTATATGTTAAAATATTAAAAAGTTTACCAATTCATTAAAAAAAATATTAAAAATTAAATAATAAAAAGATATTAAATATTAAATAAAAATATTATATTTAATAAATTATTTAATATTTAATAAAAAATATTATATTTAAGAAAAATATTTAATATTTAATAAAAAAATATTTTATAAAAACATAAAAAAATATTTATATTTAATAAAAAACATTAAAAAGTTTATCAATTCTTTTTTTTAAATTTTTTAGAAAAAAATTTTTATCAAAGATTATCATTTCTTTTGCTACATTCTTTCATTGTTTCAAAAAAAAGAAATCTTTTTTCCGGTTTTTTGTTGCCTGTTTTAAGAATGCGTCATTTGTTACGGAATCTATTCCAGGTGTTTAAAACTTCCGATGAAAGTAAATTTGAAATGAAATTATTCAATTAAATGATTGATAAATAAGAAATGATAACAATTTTCAGGTACACCTCGAAAGAATATAGTCAAAAAGTTTGGGTCAAGAGTACCTTCACCTTCCATGGAATTTACACATCGATTAAAAGCTGCAAAAGAGTTTAAAGATGGCACAATTAATCAAATAAAGGAATTAGGCAAAAACTCTAAAAATGCTGATAATGTGGATCGAAATGTTGTAATGATAATATGAAATTAATGATAATACTCTAATAAAGATATTAGGATTGGAAAGATTAGATAAAAAAAAAAAAGAAAACACCTAGTGATGATAATAGATCAACATGTTTGGGAATCATTGATAATAAAATTGCATCATACCAGTACAAAAATAGTGCTTAAAGATAAAATTAAATTATAATCAATAATGGAAGAGTGAACGGTATCAGATAGGAAAATAAATTAGAATATATCAGGAAAGGTCGACGATGAATTGTAATAAATTTATGATTAAAATAAAATTTTTGAAATTGAACTTATAATATATGAACAACTAATAATAATAATAATAATAATAATAATAATAATAATAATAATAATAATAATAATAATAATAATAATAATAATAATAATAATAATAATAATAATAATAATAATAATAATAATAATAATAATAATAATAATAATAATAATAATAATAATAATAATAATAATAATAATAAT